GATCAATTTGTCAAGCACATGTAACCTAGACTCACCTGACAGGTGTACACCATCTCTTGCCAGGTTTTGTCTATATGGTCTGGCTGTAAATTGGATATAAGTGGCATCCAATCTCACTCGTTTTTTCAGCCTGAAATTTATGTATTTAGCAGCTCTCTGGTAGTATTCTGGTGTTACTCCCCAACGATTATCTTGACTTGGTTGGCGAGGTTCCACTAACGTGAATACTACCGAATTACTGATGAGCTTAAATGAAGAAATTATGGCTTTAAGGTGATTGATCACCTCAGCTGGATGACAGTAGGATGGATGTCATTACCACCTAAGTATATAATGGTTAGATGGTGTGGCCACTCTAACGCAGGTGTTAGTGTGGAATTGTTGTAAAAGTTATGAGCTGTTGCTCCTGGTGACCTAAAGATTCTTACTTCAGTATGAGGTATAGGTCTAAGTGTTGTGGGTAATTGACTGTCCCACGAGTGCTACCTTATACATGAGGTGAAAGTAGCAATGACTTGGTGTGACTTAGGCTAACCTATGTGTTACGCTGTTGGTAGACACAATTAATTAAAATGGTTAGTCTAGACTACTTCACACAGTGATTAGTTATTAAAAATTAGTATTTATATTTATATTTTATGTTTATCCGGTTCGATAATGACCATAATGTGGGACATTTGGGGCTTGACTCTATTTATTTAATTATTAAAGTAATGAAATCAATTACGAAGGACCACCCGCTTTTATAGTAAAGAGGGAAACTAATAAAATGTGATCATTAGAAATTCCTGTATGAACCAATGACTATGGATAAATATTAGGAAATATAATCACTTGAGTAATTAATGGGCTGTATAAATAATTTACTTTAATCAAAGCCTCAAACACCTACATTGGGGGGTTATTGCTAGAACTTCATATATGTCTAGGAACTAGTGTGGTTCGTACACCAGTTCATTGTATAATAACCTAATCTTATGACCAATTAAAGAATCAATAGAAAATTTGTAACCAATAAGAATATAGATCATCAATATCAGAAATTAATCATTACAATAAACACGTATTATCTCTGTTGTACACAGCATTCCATAAATGACAATCAAAATACTGATAATTTGAATAATCAAAGAAATACGAAAAGTCTTAGCTTGAAGACGTTTTCAAAGACATCAATTACGAATCATCCTCGGGATCTCCGGAATTCCTCGTAGAACACTGGGAGATGAATAACACGGGTAAAGTAACAGCTCGTGGAATTCCTCACACGCGAGCTGTAAATTAAGGGATATTACGTAGCAATGTACTAGGCTACTAAATATCTATATTCAAGAAATTGGGAATAAAATTAATTTAGAATACTAACATATGGTTTATTTATGTCGCTCGACGTAACGACAAGCTACCCTGCCATATGCAATCTCTAATGATGCATCAAAAGGGAGTTATATATATTCTTAGCAAATAGGGTACTGTATAAGTTGAAGCTTGCTGAAACCACGTCCCAGGCTCTAGCGTCACAATGGCGAACACGTGGTAGCTAGCTTGGCTTGGATGTCGATGCGCTTATTTGGCCGGTCACGATGGATCACATAGAGCAAATTAACTAGTTCCGGGATGAATATCAGGTTAAATCTTGCTGACAATTCACCACAACGTATCCTAGACTCTGACACCAAAACGAGTTGCTCAATTCCGCAACAAGTCTTCACGCCACACACTGGTGACTTCTCCTCGAGCTGTCGTCTACCACAATGGCGTCTCCCTCTCCCCGGCGTCTCGCATTCGCCACAGAAATTATTTAACACAAATAATATTATTTCGCGCAGTTGTGGCTAAAATGCTTTGATAAAGACTGGGTTGTAATTCTAGGGAGCTAAATATTATTACTTTCTCGTCTTACGATGGTAAACGAGAAATGCAGATGATTTTAGTTCTCTCCATGGCATTCACGCATGACGTTAAATTCATTACTTGATAACAGTTGTAACTAAAAACTCGATTTGGCATTATTTGGGAGTTATATTATCTGACGCAATACTGGCGCTTGGTTACGTAAGAATTCCAGCATTATTGTACAGATACAATTATTAGTTCATGTGAACACTACTGTTAGTTAATTTTAGTTACTACAGCAATTAGTAGATTTTAGTAATAGTTAATAATAATACAACAGTATTGTATTAGTGTTGGAAATTTCCAACAGCAGGCTAGGTGCCTTACTATTGTTTATAATGAGTACTCTTTATATCCTTGTACTGTGCACTGTCCATCGTTATGCTACGCGACCTCCCCAAACAATAAGTACGTCCATAAGGAATTAAATTTATTCCTTTTACGGTATAGTGAGGATACTAGATAGTAGGTACAAACAATTAGTATATTCAGTTGAAATTTCAGCTTGTTGTCAGCGGTCGTGGTCCTAATGTTCCCACGCCATGCTTGAACTCATGTGTTGCAGCAAGTAGCAGACGACACCATTGCACCTCTACCTCTCCGTTCACTATTACAGCTAAGCAGCTGAAACCTTTTCTATTATTTCTTAGATTGAGAAAATTCTAGATCAGTCGAAGAGATTTAGTTTATTTGATTTGAGATATCTAACGTAATATGTTAGCCTCATCAAGGTCAAATGAGAATAATTGCTTGGTTAATCAACATATAATCTTTTTACCACTAATCAATTTATCTAATGTTTCTTAATAGTATTTAGTAGAATTACTAATTTTTATTCGAGGAAGAACCAGCCTCGATGAAGCGTACTGGGAGTACGTTAATACTTCTGGTATTAACCCCCCATTTTGTGAAGGACGGAAAATTTATTCTCGAACATTAATATATTATACAGCCCATAGAAGTTTAAAGAATAATCTTCAATAGTTTCTTATCCATAGGCACTGGTGTTTCAGTCCTTATCATTTAACTTTGTTTCCTTTTTCAGTCAAAATAGGGTGGTCCTTCGATTAACTTAAATTAATCTATTAATTATATATCAATCAATTAATAGATGGTAAGCTTTCTTCCCAACAGTGTGTGGTGATGAGTCTCCCTGGTTCTGGTGTGTAATGGTGGTGGGTCTCCTTGGTGCTGGTGTGTAATGGTGCTGGGTCTCCCTGGTGCTGGTGTGTGGTGGTGGTGGGTCTCCCTGGTGCTGGTGTGTAATGGTGCTGGGTCTCCCTGGTGCTGGTGTGTGGTGGTGGTGGGTCTCCCTGGTGCTGGTGTGTAATGGTGCTGGGTCTCCCTGGTGCTGGTGTGTGGTGGTGGTGGGTCTCCTTGGTGCTGGTGTGTGGTGGTGGTGGGTCTCCCTGGTGCTGGTGTGTGGTGGTGGTGGGTCTCCTTGGTGCTGGTGTGTGGTGGTGGTGGGTCTCCCTGGTGCTGGTGTGTGGTGGTGGTGGGTCTCCTTGGTGCTGGTGTGTGGTGGTGGTGGGTCTCCCTGGTGCTGGTGTGTGGTGGTGGTGGGTCTCCTTGGTGCTGGTGTGTGGTGGTGCTGGGTCTTCCTGGTGCTGGTGTGTGGTGGTGGTGGGTCTCCCTGGTGCTGGTGTGTGGTGGTGGTGGGTCTCCTTGGTGCTGGTGTGTAATGGTGGGGGGGTCTCCTTGGTGCTGGTGTGTGGTAGTGGTGGGTCTCCTTGGTGCTGGTGTGTGGTGGTGCTGGGTCTCCCTGGTGCTGGTGTGTGGTGGTGGTGGGTCTCCCTGGTGCTGGTGTGTGGTGGTGGTGGGTCTCCCTGGTGCTGGTGTGTGGTGGTGGTGGGTCTCCCTGGTGCTGGTGTGTAATGGTGGGGGGTCTCCTTGGTGCTGGTGTGTGGTGGTGCTGGTTCTCCTTGGTGCTGGTGTGTGTGGTGGTGGGTCTCCTGGTGCTGGTGTGTGGTGGTGGGTCTCCCTGGTGCTGGTGTGTGGTGGTGGTGGGTCTCCCTGGTGCTGGTGTGGTGGTGGTGGGTCTCCCTGGTGCTGGTGTGTGGTGGTGGGTCTCCCTGGTGCTGGTGTGTGGTGGTGGTGGGTCTCCCTGGTGCTGGTGTGTGGTGGTGCTGGGTCTCCCTGGTGCTGTGTGTGTGGTGGTGGGTCTCCCCTGGTGCTGGTGTGTGGTGGTGGTGGGTCTCCCTGGTGCTGGTGTGTGGTGGTGGGTCTCCCTGGTGCTGGTGTGTGGTGGTGGGTCTCCCTGGTGCTGGTGTGTGGTGGTGGGTCTCTGGTGCTGTGTGTGGTGGTGGTGGGTCTCCCTGGTGCTGGTGTGTGGTGGTGGTGGGTCTCCCTGGTGATGGTGTGTGGTGGTGGGTCTCGCTGGTGCTGGGGTGTGGTGGTGGGTCTCCCTGGTGCTGGTGTGTGGTGGTGGGTCTCCCTGGTGCTGGTGTGTGGTGGTGGGTCTCCCTGGTGCTGGTGTGTGGTGGTGGTGGGTCTCCCTGGTGCTGGTGTGTGGTGGTGGTGGGTCTCCCTGGTGCTGGTGTGTGGTGGTGGGTCTCCCTGGTGCTGGTGTGTGGTGGTGGGTCTCCCTGGTGCTGGTGTGTGGTGGTGGGTCTCCCTGGTGCTGGTGTGTGGTGGTGGGTCTCCCTGGTGCTGGTGTGTGGTGGTGGGTCTCCCTGGTGCTGGTGTGTGGTGGTGGGTCTCCCTGGTGCTGGTGTGTGGTGGTGGGTCTCCCTGGTGCTATTGTGTAGTGGTTCGTCTCCCTGGTGATGTTGTACTAAACTTGGTAGTATGTTTGTAAGGATATACAGAGCATAGAAGTATGCTTGGAAGAATATATAGAGCATAGTAGTATGCTTGGAGGGATTTACAGACCATGGTTTTATACTTGGAAGGATATTCAGAACATGGTAATATGCTTGGAATATATTTAGAGAATGATAGTATGCTTGAAAAGCTGTACAGAGCATGTTAGTATGCTTAGAAGGATATACATAGCATGGTGGTATGCTTGGAAGGATATACAGAACATTATAGTATGCTTGAAAGGCTATAAACGGTGTTAGTGCGTATGGAAAGTTGAGTAGGAGGCGGCAAGCAGAGTTTAATTACCTGAAACTGGCCTCCAGGGGAACAGTGTGCGTAATATCACTAACAGCCCGTAGCCCTAATGACTGTGGGCGGGGCTGAGACGACCAGGTCTTGCGGTCGTTACGAACAGGCCTGGTTTGGTCTTGTCCAATTCTGGCCGGGTCTGCTCTGGTCTTAACGGCCGGGTCTGGCGTGGTCTTAACGGCCGGGTCTGGCGTGTTCTTAACGGCCGGGTCTGGCGTGGTCTTAACGGGCGGGTCTGGCGTGGTCTTAACGGCCGGGTCTGGCGTGGTCTTAACGGCCGGGTCTGGCGTGGTCTTAACGGGCGGGTCTGGCGTGGTCTTAACGGGCGGGTCTGGCGTGGTCTTAACGGGCGGGTCTGGCGTGGTCTTAACGGCCGGGTCTGGCGTGGTCTTAACGGCCGGGTCTGGCGTGGTCTTAACGGCCGGGTCTGGCGAGGTCTTAACGGCCGGGTCTGGCGTGGTCTTAACGGGCGGGTCTGGCGTGGTCTTAATGGGCGGGTCTGGCGTGGTCTTAACGGCCGGGTCTGGCGTGGTCTTAACGGCCGGGTCTGGCGTGGTCTTAACGGGCGCGTCTGGCGTGGTCTTAACGGGCGGGTCTGGCGTGGTCTTAACGGGCGGGTCTGGCGTGGTCTTAACGGCCGGGTCTGGCGTGTTCTTAACGGCCGGGTCTGGCGTGGTCTTAACGGCCGGGTCTGGCGAGGTCTTAACGGCCGGGTCTGGCGTGGTCTTAACGGCCGGGTCTGGCGAGGTCTTAACGGCCGGGTCTGGCGTGGTCTTAACGGCCGGGTCTGGCGTGGTCTTAACGGCCGGGTCTGGCGTGGTCTTAACGGCCGGGTCTGGCGTGGTCTTAACGGCCGGGTCTGGCGTGGTCCTGACGACCGGGTCTGGCGTGGTCCTGACGACCGGGTCTGGCGTGGTCTTAACGGCCGGGTCTGGCGTGGTCTTAACGGCCGGGTCTGGCGTGGTCTTGATACAACACCGCCAGTGTAACGTATCGGAAATGGAGGAAATGAAGACAACTCATTGAGTGAAGGAGGTAGAGAGGTGGAAGGGAGGAATGAGGAAGAGAGGTCAGGAGAAAAGGAAAGTTTAGAATGAGAGAAAATGGGAAATGGAAAGAGACAGAAAGTGCAGCAACCATCCATTCAAGAGTTATTTATAAGTCAAGGAATGGAACTTGTCTGTCCCACAAAAAAATAACTGATGTTATCAAGTAACGACTGTACGAATGTAAATTATATAGTTAATAATCTTGAACTCATAATCTTAAGCCAGTAAACTTTAGAGTGCTCTCCACTCTAGCTTTCACAGTCCAACATCTAGGGATCAGAATTAAAGACAATTAAAAAGTAAATTAATCAATTATATATTTAACATTATATCTTCACTTATATGGGTATCATAATTCAACTATATCACTTGATTTTCAAATGACAACATTAATTGAGTCGCCACACAAGAAATGGAGAGCAACTACGTCTGACTGCACCTGACAATCACACAACACTTAAGTTGGAAAATACCAAATACGTCAACCTTTTAAGCTCACTCACAAACGTCTCTGAGTGGAAGATGGTAGAGAGGAGGGGATTAGGGGGGGGGGGATTATGGGTGACAGGCAGAGTCTGCACCGGCATGGGACAGGCTTATGTAGACCTAGTGAGGCTCCTCTCTCACTGTCTCTATCTGTATATCAGTTCTGCATCTCAAATGTACAGTTCCACAGGTATGTACAGTTCCACAGGTATGTACAGTTCCACAGGTATGTACAGTTCCACAGGTATGTACAGTTCCAAAGGTATGTACAGTTCCACCGGTATTTAAGGAGGAACCGAGAGCTAAACTCCGCCTACCAAGAGATTGTCTCTGGCTATTTTCCTATTACACCTTGACAGCGGCTTGTTAATGGAAACAGCACAGCCACTCGTCTCCAATAATCAACTCAGCAGAGAGCGAGGTCATTTCACACAACCTGACATCTGCAGAACCTCTGACAATTAACACTTGAAAGGTGTGATTTTTTATGTTAATAAAGGCCGTTAGCCTGGAGCCGCCAATATTCTGTGTCTTCCTCTCGCTGTACGTGAAATAGTAAATAAATCCATTTATAGTGTTATACATACGACCGGGTCTGGCGTGGTCTTAACAATCGGGTCTAGCATGGTCTTGACTCTGGACGACCGGGTCTAACATGGTCTTGACTCCTGACGACCAGGTCTAGCGTGGTCTTGACTCTTGACGACCGGGTCTAGCATGGTCTTGACTCTTGACGACCGGGTCTAGCATGGTCTTGACTCTTGACGACCGGGTCTAGCATGGTCTTGACTCTTGACCACCGGGGTCTGGCGTGGTCTTGACTCTTGACGACCGGGTCTAGCATGGTCTTGACTCTTGACCACCGGGGTCTGGCGTGGTCTTGACTCTTGACGACCGGGTCTAGCGTGGTCTTGACTCTTGACGACCGGGTCTAGCGTGGTCTTGACTCTTGACGACCGGGTCTAGCATGGTCTTGACTCTTGACGACCGGGTCTAGCATGGTCTTGACTCTTGACCACCGGGGTCTGGCGTGGTCTTGACTCTTGACGACCGGGTCTAGCGTGGTCTTGACTCTTGACCACCGGGGTCTGGCGTGATCTTGACTCTTGACGACCGGGTCTAACATGGTTTTGACTCTTGACCACCGGGTCTGGCTTGGTCTTGACGACCGGGTCTAGCATGGTCTTGACTCTTGACAACCAGGTCTGGCGTGGTCTTGATTCTTGACGACCGGGTCTGGCGTGGTCTTGACTCTTGACGACCGGGTCTGGCGTGGTCTTGACTCTTGACGACCGGGTCTGGCGTGGTCTTGACTCTTGACGACTGGGTCTGGCGTGGTCTTGACTCTTGACGACCGGGTCTGGCGTGGTCTTGACTCTTGACGACAGGGTCTGGCCTGGTCTTGACTCTTGACGACCGGGTCTGGCGTGGTCTTGATGACCGGTTCTGGTGTGGTCTTGACCGGGTCTAGCATGGTCTTGACTCTTGACGACCGGGTCTGGCGTAGTCTTGACGACCGGGTCTGGCCTGGTCTTGACGACTGGGTCTGACGTAGTCATAACGACCGGGTCTAGCATGGTCTTGACTCATAACGATCGGGTCTAACGTGGTCTTGACGACCGGGTCTCACCTGGTGCTAACAATCGGGTCTTGCGTGGACCAAACCTGCACACATAAATAACAGCACATGAGACCAGAAGGCATGGCAGGATGTGCAGAATACCCCCTTTGAAAAGCGGAGGTACAATAAGTACTCTGAGAGAGAACTCTATCAACATCAAAAGAATATTGAACTAGTAGAGCAAGAACTCGGCAATGTGATGTTATGGTGGCCAAAATATTACTAGGATATAAACGCATCTGTAGGCGTTCTCAAAACTCAAATGTCGAATACAAAAATCAAATGTTGCTTCAAATGTATCAACTTTGTAAAAGAGATAACATGTACTCCCTTGAACATTATATTGTAGAATGTCCCATATTGACTGACTTTCGCCCTCCTGGGCTGAGGTATGCTGAACTCTGTAAATACTATATGAATACTTAAGCACTTGATGATATATTGGACTTGTACTCAAGATTGACTATGTAATGACTCAGTTATATAATGTATGTGCTGTAACTATAACCTGAGCTTAAAAAGGCATCTAAATCACCTTCAGTGGTTAAGTGCTTAATAGCACAATAGTTTCTACAGAACCTATCGTACCTTTTCCAAGTAGGAGAGACAGAGGTGTATTATGTATATGTATGTGTGTAGGTATATTTGGTGAGCATCTTCTGACAAATGAACGAACAAAGTATTAGACTGAGCATCTTCATTTGTCAGAAGATGCTCACCAAATTGATTGGGAGATGGCTTCTTCAATAACGAATTGTAAAAGCACCTATAACAGAAACATAATTGAATCTGCTTTGATACAGATCACAAAAGAAAGTAATTTGAACATTAGCAGTGGTTTATATAACTTAGATCCATTTTTAATAGATCAATTAAAGGGCGATTTTAGTAGGATCATTGGAACACATTTGTCTCACTAATTCATTGTAAATATTTACTATCGTATGTTATGATTATCCATGTGTGGTCCTGTGTGTGGTTATGAATGGGAGCTGCATCGGATTGGCCAATAGGCCCTCTGCAGTTTTTGTACGGCTCATATTTGTGTCCACTTATTGTACCTCACCTGCCTATTTGTGTCCAGTACTCGACCTGTAAAACCACTCCTTCTGAAGAAGTATTAATATACGAAAGTACTTAAGGAAATTCCTGTTTAAATTTTTCTCCGTGGTCTGACACTGTCACATTAATAATTCTGGAGACTGCTCCATTGAAGCAAACCTTGGCTTTCCTTCCTGTGAGGTAGTCTTCAACCCATTTCATGAGTCTCCCCTTGACACCCATGCATGCAAGCTCGTCCAGGATCGCAATCCCCTGTGCTTTGTCAAAGGCTCCTTTGATGTCAACAAATACAGAGTACCTAGCCGTGTCATTAGCCAAGTAATTAACTATACAATTTGCTGTGCTCCGTCCTTTAACAAATCCATTGACCCCCTCCCCTAACCTGCCTATTTTGTGCAACAGTCGGTTTAGGATGATCCTTTCAAGCATCTTCCAAGTGCATGACACGAGACTGATAGGTCTGTAATTGCCAGGGTCATTAGGCTTCGGTATGGGAACAATTATTGCGTGTTTCCATTGTGTGGGCAGCACTCCACTTAGGAATGACTTGTTAAACAGGTGGAGTAGTGGATTCCCAGACACTTCACACAGTGCATTGAGTATGTCGTAGGTGACGCCATCTTCACCAGGTGCTGTACTTTTACCCCTTTTCATAGCGCCCCTTACTTCTAGGGCTGTGATTGGTTCCCCATATTCGTCATCACTAGACAGTGCTCTTGTTATCCTAATTCTTCTGTCATCATGTCGCAGGAGCTGTTCCCTGCTGATTTCTGCAGGGAGGGAGGAGGAGGATGCTGCATCACTCCACTTGTGAATTAGTTCCTCAGGCTTACCCTGGGGGTCTTTGTGAGCGGCAGGCCGGGCTCTGCCACCCTTAGCTATCTTAATTTTTGTCCACACTTGTCTTGCAGATGTTTCCCGTCCAATAGAGCTAGTGAACTCAAGCCATTGTCTTTCCCGCTCTTTAATCTTCTCTTCCCTGGCTACTTGACACACAGTTTTAAACAATTCTTGGTTACTCTCAGTGGGATGTCTCCGGTACTCTCTACTCATGTCTCGCACATTTGCGTTAAGCATCTTTATGTAACCATTCTCATACCATTTTATTTTCTTCCTCTGAGGGTTACTTCGCCCAGGCGTACGGCGCAGAACTCTTTGACAGCTCTCAATTTGGTGATTAAGGTCATCAACAAATGTGTCAATGTCTTCTGGGATTTGGTATTCCGTGAACCAGTCACTCATCCTGTTTATGAAGTGCGGCCTCATATCTCGTCCGAGTGATAACCTTTTTCTTTTATTTGTCTCTTTCTTTCTCTTGCTCATGTCGACGGTGGTAATTAGCGCCCAATGGTCACTACATAAACTGTGCACAATGTGTGTACTGGCATCCGTGTCCTGTGCTGCAAGCCAGAGGGCTGCTGCAAGTGTACAGCTGCCACGACGCTCCGACCACACCATCTGGGCTGCTGCAAGTGTACAGCTGCCACGACGCTCCGACCACACCATCTGGGCTGCTGCAAGTGTACAGCTGCCACGACGCTCCGACCACACCATCTGGGCTGCTGCAAGTGTACAGCTGCCACGACGCTCCGACCACACCATCTGGGCTGCTGCAAGTGTACAGCTGCCACGACGCTCCGACCACACCATCTGGGCTGCTGCAAGTGTACAGCTGCCACGACGTTCCGACCACACCATCTGGGCTGCTGCAAGTGTACAGCTGCCACGACGTTCCGGCCACACCATCTGGGCTGCTGCAAGTGTACAGCTGCCACGACGTTCCGACCACACCATCTGGGCTGCTGCAAGTGTACAGCTGCCACGACGCTCCGGCCACGCCATCTGGGCTGCTGCAAGTGTACAGCTGCCACGACGTTCCGGCCACACCATCTGGGCTGCTGCAAGTGTACAGCTGCCACGACGCTCCGGCCACGCCATCTGGGCTGCTGCAAGTGTACAGCTGCCACGACGTTCCGGCCACACCATCTGGGCTGCTGCAAGTGTACAGCTGCCACGACGTTCCGGCCACACCATCTGGGCTGCTGCAAGTGTACAGCTGCCACGACGCTCCGGCCACGCCATCTGGGCTGCTGCAAGTGTACAGCTGCCACGACGTTCCGGCCACACCATCTGGGCTGCTGCAAGTGTACAGCTGCCACGACGTTCCGGCCACACCATCTGGGCTGCTGCAAGTGTACAGCTGCCACGACGTTCCGGCCACACCATCTGGGCTGCTGCAAGTGTACAGCTGCCACGACGTTCCGGCCACACCATCTGGGCTGCTGCAAGTGTACAGCTGCCACGACGTTCCGGCCACACCATCTGGGCTGCTGCAAGTGTACAGCTGCCACGACGTTCCGGCCACACCATCTGGGCTGCTGCAAGTGTACAGCTGCCACGACGTTCCGGCCACACCATCTGGGCTGCTGCAAGTGTACAGCTGCCACGACGTTCCGGCCACACCATCTGGGCTGCTGCAAGTGTACAGCTGCCACGACGTTCCGGCCACGCCATCTGGGCTGCTGCAAGTCTACAGCTGCCACGACGTTCCGGCCACACCATCTGGGCTGCTGCAAGTGTACAGCTGCCACGACGTTCCGGCCACACCATCTGGGCTGCTGCAAGTGTACAGCTGCCACGACGCTCCGGCCACGCCATCTGGGCTGCTGCAAGTGTACAGCTGCCACGACGTTCCGGCCACACCATCTGGGCTTTTGTGTTACTCATGGCACTAAAGAAACTATTTTTCCAGCTATCTATCCATCTATCTTGCCATCTACCTCTTTATCCATCCATGTATCTATTCATCCAACTTCTATCTATTCATGCACCTATCCATTTATTCACCCATCCTCTAAGATTCCTCTATCTTTATATCCATCTATTTGTATTCTATGACTCTATTCATCCATCTATCTATCCATTGATCGATTCCTCCATCTACTCATTTTTCAATCTATTCATATATTTGTCCATCAATCTACTCACCTATCAATCTATCTCACAATACATTCGCCTGTCCATACCTATTTATATTTTTACCTATCCAAGTATCCATCGATCTCTGTGTCAATCCATCTATCTTTCTGTCAATTCATCCATCTATCTATCTGTGTATCCATTCATCTCACTATCCATTCGTATACTCATTCATCTATGTACCCATTCATTTATCCATCATTCCATCCATCTATTCATCTATTTACCCATTTATCAATCCATCTCCTGTCTTCACACCTCTGTCTCCCCCGGTCTCTGTCTTTTTCTGTATCTCTCTGTCTGTGGTTTTCTCTGTTTAGGTCTTTCTCTGTTTATTTCTGTCTATTTTTCTGTTTATTTCTCTGGCTCTGTCTCCCTCTCATCAAAACAAAAAAAATCTACCACTGCCGTGTCGGTGGTCGCTGGTAGGAGGAGCGCACCGGTGTAAAATATTAGACAATGTAGTTACCTCCTTTACACTGAGATAAGGCAAGGCTTGAGAAGCCTTTTAAAGCTGTTGGAGGATCGTTTGTTTGCATGTGACATTGGGAAAAGTATGGACAACAAATAATTTTTGTTAAATTTTCCGACATCAGTGAATAATTGTGTATACTACTATAAGACAAAATCGTTTTAAAATGGATGTTTTAGCTCTTGTAGTCGGCGGGCAGAGTAAGGAGCCAATAGGTTGGTTGCAGAAAAGTTGTTCAATGTCAACCAATATTTTTTGACTAGTTGTATATGAAAAGGGCTGCAATTGTCCCAAGTTTCAGTACTTCAGCGTAAATAGAAAGGGAGATTTTTTTTTTCAAAGACTTTTACACATTTTAAGTCTTAATAAATAAACACACGTTTCAGATATAATTATTCTGTGACACTTTTCTGACACATTAGCAT